CCCCCTAGGGGCCCCCCTAGGGGGCCCCCTGGGGGCCCCCCGGGGGGGCCCCCTGGGGGGCCCCCCGGGGGGCCCCCAGAGAGTGCTGCTGCTTTGTGAGCAGCAAGATGAAATGCAGCGTCTGCGAATTCCTGGCGGAGTTGAAGAAGTTGATGGAGAAAGTGTGAAAACCCTAATTCCATTTGGCCTGAGAAAAAATGCAAACCCTAAACCCTAAACCCTAAACCCTAATTTTAAAACAATATAAACCCTAAACCCTAAACCCTAGTTTGTACTGAACCAATATACACTTTAAACAATAAAGCCCATCGCTAGGAATTAGGGTTTAGGGTTTAGGCTTTAGGTTTAGGTTTAGGTTATCCTCTCTACGTTGTAACATCTAGGGTTTAGGGTTTAGGGTTTAGGGTTTAGGGTTTAGGGTTTAGGGTTTAGGTACCTGAGAACCTGCTGTGCGTAGAAGTTAAGAACTTTAAACAAAGCTTCAACAGAGAGTTGCTGAGGCGCTCTACAGCCTGCAGCCAAACCCTAAACCCTAAACCCTAAACCCTAAACCCTAAACCCTAAACCCTGAACCCCAAACCCTAAACCCTAAACCCTAAACCCTCACGCTATGTCTTCATCGGTGAGTGCATAAGGGGACGTCTGTGCTGCACCCCAGCTGCCCAGGTGGTGCCCTGGGGGTCGTACTGCAGCAGAAAACGGCAGCAGCAGCAGCAGCAGCAGCAGCAACAGCAGCAACAGCAGCAGCAACAGCAGCAGCAACAGCAGCAGCAGCAACAGCAGCAGCAGCACAAAAAAGCAGCATTTAATTTAAGGATATCGCTACAGTAATATACAGTGAAGAAGCAACAGCAGCAAATGCTGCTGCAGCTGCTTTTCCTGCTGCTGCTGCTGCTGCTGCATCTATTCCTGCTGCTGCTGCATCTGTCCCTCTGCCCCTGCTGCTGCTGCTGCTGCTGCTGCTGCTGCTGCTGCGTCTCTCACCCGCACAGAAAGCATTTACTTTGGCGCCAGAGCAGACAGCATCAACAGCAGCAATGACTGTTCCTGCTGCACTTGTTGCTGCTTCCCAGCTGAGGGCTGTTACTGGGGTATCTCCATCGGCGAAGGAGTAAGCATAGGGATCCATAGACCCAGGCCCCGTGTAGCTGCTGCTGCTGCTGCTGCTGGTAGTCGTGCTGCTGCTGTTGCTGCTGCTGCTGCTGCTGCTGCTGCTCGGCTTGTTCACTGAACGCGCACCGAAAGTGCTACGGA